TCAGACTGTTTGAATGATAAATTATAAAACAATTGTAGTTGTTCAATATTTGCACTATATATACGATATATAAAACAAGTAAATAATACTGTGATAAAATATATAAAATATAAATATATTCTAATAAGTAACTTATATTAAATAAATAAAAGAAATTATAAATTAAATACGTAAAATCAACATAATAAATATACAGAAAAAGAAAGGAAAATAAAGTTCAAATATAAAAAATATTTTTAAAAGTTAATGAATTAAAAGTTTAATATATGAAATTTTAATGATTTATAGTTAAATCAAATAAATGTAATATCTATGTTCAATGAGTTGACCATATGCAAATATAAAAAATTAAATGATATTTTAATTCGTTTATAAAATTTGATTTAATTATTAAATATGCTATGTGATTTTTTTAGTAAATAATACACTTTTAGAAAAATAAAATGTACTTCTTTGATGTAAAACAATTTTAAACCAATTGTTATTCGAATAAATAGTAATTTTAGTGTTTTATAAACTGGCCAAAATACGATAAAAATTTATATTAAATTCAGTTCCAGTATAATATTGAAATTATATGGTTGGAATTCATAAAAATACTTTTATCCGATATCATGATCATTATATGACCTTATAATGGATCTGATAAAAGAAAAATTAAAATAATTTAATGATGTTGTGCAATTTATAACACTCCATCTAAAATACAATAATAAAACTAACTATTTACAGTATTACCAACCACGTAATTTAGTAGGCACACATTCTCTAATAAGAGAATAATATCTTTTAGTGTGCTAGATCTACTGAAACGTAGATACGTCGATATAAGATGCCACAAGCTCTGCAGCAAACTGCAGAATGTAGTTTTGGGTAAGTATTCAAATATATCTTTTTGTTGGAAGTAAAACGTTAGCCATCTAGAGGTGGCCCTATGTACACCATTGATATTTCTGAATTTCCATATACTGCAGAAACCGATGGGTATAACCTTCTATCTGGTAGCCCTGTGCAGTTAGTTGTAAAATGAAATCTGATGCTGATTAATTGATAACAAATATAGAATGTTATGTAAAAATTTTGTTAAATGATTAATCGTATTATAAAATAGTAACAAAAAAATCATAAGTAGTACCTCTAAAAGCTACACCTAGAAACTCATAATTCTTTTCAAATGACAATGTGTTATCATCACAGTCCAGTATGACTCTGATTTTTTCTCCTATCTGAAATTAAAATGATACATACAGTTTTATTAATTTAATTATTTATTATATCATTATATATATATATATATATATATATATTGATTTATTATAATCTGATTAAGAAGAACTTTCACCTGGTATGTTGGAGCATTATTGAGTAATGGATAACTCCCTTGTGCATTCCCATTGTGTAATAAATGATTGTCAACGAGATTCCACCCCCAAGAGTGTTCATCAGAACCAAGCAGAGCTACATATCCATGACATAACAAAGACGCCTCTTTTGTAGCTATACCTACAACAGCTACTGTACCTAATGGTCCTTCCCATATTACTTCCCATGCATGACGTCCATGCCGAAAACCTATTTTACCTCTACAAGCATCTGTGCTTTGTGCAACTGGGTTCCTAAAAAGATATTTTAATTAATCTAATGATTAGTAATTCGTTAATACACAATGATAGTATAAAAATATAACTTTTTAAATAATGGTTTTGATATCACAATATAAAAAACCTTTTACTTATGAATACTTATTTAAGCAAATATTCCATATTTCAAATTTCCCATGACAAATAAAAAACAAAAAGTAAACACTTTTTGGTTATTTGTTGATAATTCAAATGATACAGATGTTAAAGATCTACAAAGTATTATAAAATAATAGAAGTGAAATAAAATAAATATTTAGTGATTACAAACAAGAGAGTTCGATCATTTAATTAAAAAACATACCTATGCAATGTAAATCCATTGGACTTAATATAAACATTACGCGAACAATCGTTCGGATTCCAAGCATGATAATATGCTCGAAGCTTCGCTTTGTAAGTGGGTACCGATGATAATAAATCAGAACTAAGTGCCTCTTGAGCTAATGTTCTACTACAATGAATTCTCCATACATCGTTATTTTCATCCCTTAAGAATTTATACCACCTTTTACATACCAATGCACAATTTTTTAAAGTGTGCAAATCTAGATAAGAGAAAATCACTTCTAAGACACGATCGGACGCGTTCAATACGATACCGTCCATTTTGCCGGTTCTCTGTCAGCAGAGGCCAGCGGGTCAGCAGAGCTAGCAAAGGAAGAAAACATTTGTCGAAGATAATGGTTAAGCGCGTTTGCCACTTAAAAATTAGTACACTTTTCATGGGGGCGCTTTGTATCTGTATTTATTGTCACTTATCTACAATGCTTTCCATTAATTGTATCGAAACACCCGAGTGCAGCCGTCAAAAAATCGACATAACTCGAAATACGATTATTATTTAAATGGGAAGCACTAAATATAGATTTAAATTTAAGCATTGAGCTAGTAACATATTCATTAAATTCAGAATATATTTTATAATAAAAAGAATAGAGGAAGGGAAAGACAAATATTTTAGCAATGTTTTGTTTCTACGAAGTTCTTAAATGTATATGTAATAATAACATATACTTTGAGGATGTAAAACCTTAGGTTATAACCAGGTTAAGAAGTATCTATCTTGATTAGAAATAAAAACATATTTACTTAGGTTTCTAAAATAAAGACTAAGACAGATTAGGATAATAAGAAACTCTAGTAAAGCGTCCTAGAGAATTAACGCTGCCTCTATCGAGTAATTATTGCAACTTGCGTACAGTCTTGCTTTGAACTTGTACATCTGTCATATCTTCACTTTTACACAATGAAAGATGCCAATCTTCGTTAGAAATTTAATCTGTGCACAGTTTGTATGTATATATGTATATACATATGAATACGTATATACGAATGTCAAAGCGGACATGGCGAACTTTAGCGAGAAGAACTCACACAAAATGACAGAAAATAACATTCAACAACGTTGTAATATACAATGGGTGAAATTAAATGTGGGCGGGACGTATTTCTTAACTTCAAAAACTACGTTGGGTCGAGACCCTAACTCATTTCTTTATCGACTTTGTCAAGAAGATTCGGATCTTATATCGGACAGGGTTAGTTCTTTTTGTGAGGTTATTTGTAACTGAAACTGATTATTGAAATTTCGTTGCATATTTTAAGTGAAACTAAAGTAATAAATATAATTAAAAATTTTAAATATAATTTTTTTATCGTGTTCTAATCTTTCATATAAATATTATGCTATATACGTAAATTTGAGGCCAACAGCATTGTGGCAATATGATGAACTTTAAAAAAAATACACCATTATTATTATCCATGCTATCTTTATTAATATTATTTAATTAATATATATTATTTTTTTAATTAATTCTATTTTACAATTTCGTTGGTGAAAATCATTAAAAAAAAATTATTCATGCAAATTATTTATTTAAAAATTGTGTTTGATTTTCTAATACAATGTGAACATAATTATGACCTTGGATTGAACAATGTGAATTGATTAAATCAATAAAATTATGTGTTTAGTGATATAGTACAGTGATTTACAAGTTTTTTTTATAGGATGAAACTGGTGCTTACTTAATAGACCGTGATCCAACATATTTTAGTCCTATCTTAAATTATTTACGACATGGTAAATTGGTTATCAATAAGGACTTAACCGAAGAAGGTGTATTAGAAGAGGCAGAATTTTATAATATTACAGAACTAATTCGACTAGTTAAGGAACGCATTGTAATGCGAGATACAAAACCTTTAAAAGATTCTAAGAAATATGTCTATAGAGTATTGCAAAGTCATGAAGATGAAATAACACAAATGATGTCAACATTGTCTGATGGGTGGAAATTTGAACAGGTATTTGAACATATAATAAAACAGTTTACAATTAATCGAATAACGTAACACAAATTTGAACTTTTATATTTAAATTTTACCTCCTTTATATATTATATTATTTTATTAAACAAAATTCTATATAATATAGAATGCATTCTATAGTTTGATATATGATTATTCATTTCTAGCTAATCAATCTCAACACCACATATAATTATGGAAATCACAATGCTGAACTCCTAGTTGTGGTGAGTCGTGAAAATGGACCAAGTCAAATCAATAGTAAGGAACAGAAATCTACTGATCGTGTTAAGGTACACTTTCCCATACCCTCTATTTAAGTTCTTGTTCTAGTCAAAATAGCTATGTATAATGTAATTAGTATATTGAACGAATATTACGTTCAATATATTTCATTCTACTACAAAAACTATATGACAAATATTTTCTTCGTAGCTTTTTTATTAAATGGATATACTTGAAAGAAATTCATATAAATATCTAAATGTGCATAGTTTCATATTTACATGCACATCAATGAATAAAATATATTTTATCAATATTATCTTAAGCGCCACCTTTCTTGGAATATTTATTTCAATATACAATTTTAGTAATAATATATTTTTTTATATGTATTTATACATTGTATAATGGCCAAAGATAATTAATATTATATGCAATTCTTAAAATAACACTATTTGCCCCTAATCATTCTATTTATATTATCATATATTGATATTTGCAAATCTCATATTTCATTATTTGCAATAACTATACGACACAACACAAAATTGAAATAAAGAAAAATAAAATTACTTATCAAAATAAAATCAGAAAATTAACTTGAAATCTTATACATAACAAAAAATATTCATTTATATAATTGTTTGTCAAGAGATAACTTTACATATGATTTTAACATTAAGAAATCACGCGATATTAATTTTTTTCATAAAGAAGAAATTTTATTGATTTTAATAGAATTGAATTCAAAAGTTTTTACATCTCAATTTGCATGAGCATGTTCTGCCTCTGATATTTGTTGTATGTATCATATTATTATTATTGTAATGCATGCTATTGTCTTAATAAAGATTTTTTCTTTCATTGGTTTGGTTTCTATTTGCCCTGTGTCCTGCATGATTTAATAATGCATGTTACAATTAGTTTATTACATGTTATGCTTATTTATTTAATTATAACATTGTTTAGTAAAGAAATTATTTACGACTAAGAAATACACATTATAATATGGAAAAAAATAAATAATTTTATTAGTAACAATATTATTGATTTCAATCTTATTGTTAAATGTTTAAATATTACTAGAAAATCGTACATGACAATTTAAATTATGCAGTTTGTTATTTCTTTCTGTATTATTATACTTTGGTACATTTCTTATTTTTTAATCGAATTTATAAATTATATTTGCAATAAAATAATTCTGTACAGCAACAGTATAGCAGAGGCTGAACAATAATAATATATCATACATTATTTATATCAAAAGGAAATTTAAAATAATATAATAAAATATCAATGGTTTTAAAATTGTATAAAGATTGATAATTTTATTCTTTTTTATTTTTTTATTTTCAACAATCGAAATATTTGAATTATGGGGTTATATTTTAGGTCTTACAACAGAAGGGATCACGCATGTAATCTAAATCCGTCCCTTATCCCTTCTTGCCTCCTTTAATTAGATCAACTGTGCAGCAAGAAGACGAAGACTGTATCTGTTTTTTTAGTTAATAGTTTATTTTTTAAGATTTATACAGTCTCCATTTGCAAGTTTTTCATTTCTATATGATTATAATTTAGCAAACAAATAATATGCAAAACTCTAAAAATTATAATTATATTTTATATCGATATTTATTATTTAGCAATATTGTATATGGAACTTTTACAATGGAAAGTATTATAGCTTCATTATTAATGAAGACCATGTACATTCTTATTAACTTATCGTAATGGAAGATATTACTTTCATCGATGATATTTCACTTACTCAGTATTTTACAATTTTATAAAAATTAACAATTAAAATAATTCTAGGAAGATATCATTCTTTTCTTTAAACACACATTACAGTGATCTGCTTTCAAAGGAGACATACTAAGGATAAAATGGCAAATATGTTACTAATAACCAAAGTTGTTTAACGATAGCTAAAGTTATGTTTTAGCTTTACTGAGTAGTTTAATGGATAATAGTGTTTACGGAAGTCATCTTTTTCATAAAAAGTTTCTACAAAGAATGTAGATATACCTGTGGTAGTGCATAGTTTATCTTTTTGTACCAAATTTTTTGTACAAGATTTCTTTTTATTTGTAATTGTATCATAAGATTCTCTAAATTACTTACCTTGCACTGCCGCTATAAAACATAATGTATGATATTTATATAGCTAGCATTATAACTTTCAGTATCTGAATCAAAGTGTTTACTACTAACGTGTTAAGTAATCTTCAGATACATATTAGTATATTGAAACAATAAAAAATTTTTAAAGAAAATAACTTGTTACATTATTCTCTAAGATCACAATGTTGGGCCTTATGCTATAAAACAGGTAAACATTCAAAAAAAATTATAATATCACAAAAATAATAATTATTAATGATGCAAAATATGTAGCATATATATATTTGTCCCTTTAATAACAGATAAAATCATAAAAGGGATAATAAATTATTATATATTACTTCATTTTTCTAAGTTTGATTAATTTTTGACTTCGTACGATATATGTACATACACATATACATATATAATCCTCAGTAGCGATAATACTGAGAAAATTTGCAATAGACATTGTTTGTCAATTGTTCCAGGCCTACTAAAAAAATCATCCTAGACAATATATGCATATTTAGAAATTAAAAAAAAAAAAAAATAAGTATATATGTATCTATAAAACATATTATTCTAAATATAATTAATATCACATAAATTGGATTAGCCAATAAGTAACGGCGGAATTTTCAGTATTTTATATCTAAATAAACAACATTGTATACAGTATTTTTTACTGAACATGTCGGCACATTACTTATTAGCAAACCCAATAAATGTATAATCTTAATATTTCAAGACATAACAGATCAATGACATTAGCAGTAAATTACGTTTTTACATTGAAAAGAAATGTAATAAGAAATATTAATACTAGATTTATTAACCTCAAAAATTGAAATATTTAGATGATCGTAATACTTTGAATAAAAGTATTGATTGCACAATATCAGTTACTTTCATGACAAATATATTAAGAAGCAAATAGTAATTCGTCAATAATTGTAGGACTATTACTATTAATCCGATTTTCATGTATATTTTAATGCAACTAATTTCTTCCTTAGTTGAATATATGCCATTAGTTCCATTAATGTTTCTATTTATAAGTTTAAGTAATTCTCAAAATTATGCGTTTATAAATGAATTTCTGGACTGAATATAAATTCAATAGTTAAATTTTCAATATGAGGGTGGTATTTATATATAATAAAAATAGCACTTTAATACTATTATTTATAAGAAATGTAAAAAAAAATAATAACATACAAAATATCATAATAAATAGAAATAAACGAATTTATGTTTCGACTTAATTTTTTTGAGATAAATTTGAGCTAGTAATAATTGAACCTTATTACAATTGTAGAAGACATTATATATTTTATTTACACAAGATATATTTTAAATATTTCACACGGATTATATTATTATATTACGTACTATCACAATATTATAGTTTTAGAAATTATGTACACGTATGAAATATTCCGATTTAAATATATTTATAGTTTATATATGTTTAATAAATAATTACATGATTTATGAATTATTTATATCTTGATTTAAAAGATAAATAAGAATGGATAATAGAAGACTTTACAAATTCTATAGTAACTATTATATATATATATAAGGATAAGTTCATATTATTGTTATAGCATTCGGAATTTATTATTTTAATATGAAAATGATGTAAAAATTAATATTTATATTATCAAAATTCACTTTAAAATACCATTATATCAAAAAAGATCTATGTTTACATTTATCTATAATATGAAATATCGTTTAATAATTGGTATTTATATAAACTTATACACAAGTATATATTTATAGCTATATAAATAATGCACAAGTAAACAAATTAATGTGTGAATGCACATTTAATATTAATTTTAATTATACTTCATTAATACTGCAACAAAATAGTTGATTAAGAGTTAATATAATAAAACAAAAATAATCACTGAATAAATGTGCATAATTGGCTAGTAAATACTTATAAAAATAAAAATATATAGATTTTTTATATATTTATAATACATGCGTACTTGCATGTAAATTCACAAGTAACATCGTTATATGGTCATTGCACATTTATTGATAATATAAACAAAATAAGATCTAGATTAATTTGAGTAATAATTTCAGAGACACTTCAGCTGATAAAATAGTCACAGTAACTTTAGATGCAATAATTATTATATATTAGTGCAATTATCTGTAAATTATAATTAGTGCAAAGGTTATATTTATTATATAATCATTTCTATTTTTATGAGCAAAAGATAATTTTCATGCTTAAATATTATGATAAAGACATTATTAATATTTAATTTTGATTTAAGTATGTGAGCATAATTTCATTACATTCTATTGTTGCATTATATTAATTGTAAAATAAATTATACATTCATAGTAAATTACAATCTTAATAATTTGCATTTTTTATTATCCAAATTAAATAAAAAGCTTATTACAAAATTTTTGCTATATTTTACTTTATCACTAAGACCTTTTTTTCATATAAATATTATATAAATAGTATTTTACCAATAATAAATTATAGTTATCACGAAATACGAAAAAATATTAAAATATGAAAACTTATTTATTAATATACGTACTTATATACACATATAATACAAATTATAAAGATTTAAAGATGTATACAAATATGAACATTATAGTAATTATTATAGTAGTATCTTAAGTAGTAATTTGTATATTATATACAAAATATTATTCATGGCATATTAGCAATTGTTTTCAAAGGTCGATCAAGATATTTAGCAAGTGCTTGTGCTTTTTCTCTTAATAACCCAAATCCTACATTCTCTTTAGCATACAAACATAATAATAAATTTGCTACTTCTGTAATCACCACTTTGCCTTCCTGAAATAAGATATTCATGAATTACCAAGTGTAATCTAAAATTATAATGTTGCAGTGCTTCCTTAATAGCTTACATTTGAAATTTGATAAATACAAACATATGTTGTTCTCATATATATGGGACAATTATAAAATATTTAATGTTTATTTTCTTAATAAAAAAATAATTAATTATTAAGCAAAAAAAGTTGCTCTCCATTCGTTTTTATAATTTTGTAGTATTTTTAATACTTTTCAGAATACTATTTATATATATTAAGAATAATAGACTATAATGTATTGGATTTAAAAAATTATTCAAAATATTACTCTGATAGGTTGTCTCTCTCTACTTTTCATAAAATAATTTAATATAAATTATATGATTACCGCGCAATCCATCAAAACAAATTGTAATTCATCTTCTTTAAATGCATTTCTTCCATTTTTTTCATAAGCTGACCAAATATTACTTGTAATTGCAGCAGTTATTCTAGCATCTTTATCTCCATAGCCACTATACGCTAATAAACCACCATCTCTGTTAAGCAACCTGTAATATTATTCATTATTAATTTCTTACAAGAAGTTATTTATTATATAGCGAAATGAAATTTACCATAATTGTTTATAAAATATACAAGTATGATTTAATAATACAGTATAATAAATATACATTTAATTCATTTTACTTGTATATATATATAAATATATATTAAGTAATATATTATGATTCATTTAAAAATATTTTTTATATTTAGGTTAATAAACGTGACCAAGTTTTTTTAAAGTTTAATATTTAAATTTATAACTTACAAAGTATTTTCAACACCACCTGTATTCGCCTGGCTCAAAACTTGTGTAAGAGCTTTTGGTTTCAACATAGCGTAGAATTATTTATTAAGAGAAACTTATTCTATTCCTGTTAAGATCCAGGTTAGTCGTCACCTTTTTTTAATGCATATAAAAGATGTTATATGCATTATGTACTTAACACTTCTGTATATGTATATGCATATATATATGTCTTAGATCACCCAAGCGGCCGTCAAGGTAAGCAGGGTATAGTTGCTATTACAGTGCACTCTACTGTTTCATGATGAGCGACCACTATATGGTAAACCCTATAATAGGGTACTATTTTTAATAGCAAAATGACAATATGTGAGAACTCAAAACATATATTTTTTAAAGCGACGTTTATTATCGGTTTTTTATAAATGCATATATATACACAATGCATCTTAAGTATTGATTTTTAAAAAATAAATTTAAATGATTTCTAAAATATAATAACGGTCAAAAACGATTTTGATTGGTTGGTACTTATAGAAACGTATAAAAATTAAACAATTAAGGACCATTTCTTAAGGATCAATTTTATTCATTGTAAACATAAACATGCTTTTTTAATTAAAAATACTGTAAATATCTTAATCTTTTTACAAATAAATAGCAATGTTTAACTATAAAGATTATGTACAATTTACAATCATAAAACATTGTTCACACATAGGTGGCAATGAATATCATGCTTCTAAGTTTATTAAAACTAATCAAATGATACAAATTTGTTACATAGATATTATTTCTATAAAAATTTCTTATTTACATGTATATAAATATATAAATATATATAAATAAATATAATATATTCTTATCTCGAGTTTTATATTTTTAAAGATTGTGTGTATAAACTTTTAATTTTAATGTTATGAAAAATAAAAGATACCTTAAGCTATACTATAAAGAAATATTTCGATACGCTTTTTACTTTTGATATGAACTATAATATATGTATATACTATTGTATATGTACTAGTGCACGCAAAAGACGCTTTTATTGGAGTACATACTTTGTGTTGTGCATTGTGTAGTGTGGTAGAAATAAAAAGAAGTATAAGGAAAACGAAATATACGGATCAAGTAAGAGAAACATTTAATTGCATAATGTACTGTTCTTGATGTGTAAACTCTGGTTATGGCTTTTTAAAAGATCTCTTATTGTTCTTTTAATATACTATTCTTCCATGCTCTGTACGTATATTAAAACGCTGAGGCAAAGTTACGTATAATTATTTCTACGTAATGAATGAAAATATACAAAATAATAGGCTGATTTCTTAGGTAACTATAAATATTTCTATTTACTAAAATTTATCAAATATTTCCACTACGTAGTTTTCTTCACAGCATAATTTGTAATATTTGTAGTTTTTAAAGGATTTTTTATATTTAAAAAATTCTTAATATAAGCAATAATCTTTTATATTTACTTATTTCTTTATTATTTATATATACATAATATAAGAAGAAGAAGAAGAATAATGCAATATTTTTTAAATTATATATTAAATATTATTTTTAATAAAAATTGTAATAAAATAAAGTAATCTTATTAATATCTAATATAAAAGTAATTATATAAAAATTAGATCTAAAAGATAAAGAATATTTTTATATTACATTATAGTTGTTACATAAATTTTAATATAATGTTATATTTTCGAGGATCATTACTTATACTTTATACTTTGTAAAATAAATATTAAATACATCAATAATTTTGAAATATTTATAACTGTAACATTATACGAAAATATTTTATTATGATCTATTTTTAACACATTACAGTATATATCCTAAAAGAACACTAATGAGAGTTTTCAAAGCACAAACCAGGATAAAGATTTGTAAACATTTTTCTTCGATATTTAAGACCAGATGAAAGATTCAAGTGAAGAGTTATTGCAGTTATTATCTGCGCAAAAAATTTCATCTCATGAAACGAAAGAAATTTATACAAATCAAGCAGCATGTGATGATACTGGTTCAGATAATGGCAATGCTTCCAAAACAGAATTTAAGACTTCTGTATCTCCATTATTTAGTCATTATAGATACGGCTGTTCTTTTCTTCATCATGATAATTCTATTAATTTACCAAGTTTACCCACATATTTACCACCAATTGGGGTATTTTGGGACATTGAAAATTGTCATGTTAGTTTAAAGTTATTAGTATTTGTATATAACTACATTATAGAATATTATATTCTATAATACATTTTTATTATATATGTTTTATATAGGTTCCAAAAGGAAGATCTGCTATGGCTGTTACACAAGTGATTAGAGATAAATTTTTTAGCGGTTATCGAGAAGCAGAATTTATTGTTGTTTGTGATGTTCAAAAAGAAAATAATCATGTAATGCAAGAATTAAATGATGCACAGGTAATCCAGATAGAGAGATAATGGATTAATAGATAAAATAAGCATAAATTAAATACATTTTTTATTAACTTCTTGCACTATATCAATGTGTAAGACCTGTGATGTGTGCACTCTGTAGCCTAAATATGAAAAACATGAGTCCTACTCATGGCGATTCTTATGAGAGTGTATCTTATAAAGAGTACAAAATATATCACCAGAAATTGCTTGCAGCTTCACGCTTTAAATCATAGAGGTGTTAAGATAAATCATATTGTATAAGTATTTCTTCAATTTTTTTTATTATTAGGTTAATTTAATACATGTTGCCGCAACATGTAAAAATGCTGCTGATGAAAAACTTAAACAGTCTATCAGAAGATTTGCTGATATTCATGGTAGTCCAGCAGCAATTATTTTAATATCTGGAGATATTGACTTTGCTGCTGATCTTAGTGATTTAAGATATAGAAAAAAAATTCATGTGATACTTCTTCATAACAAAAGTACTTCAGAAGCATTAATATTATGTGCGAATGAACATTATGATTTTATGGATCTTATGGAACCTCTGCCATCTAGACCTTTATTAAAGGTAAATTTATTTTTATTAATTTTTAAGTTTTTGTTCTAAACAGGTTATATATTTCATTGAAATATTTAAATATATGAAATCATCTTAAATAAATAAAAATTTAAATTATAATACTAGGTTATTATAATACTCTTTATAAAAATTAATTAAATTCTTTTCGTATGCGTTGTGTAATACTACAATATTTACATATTCTTATTTAACAAAATATTGAAATAATTTCTTTTCTCTTAATTTGTTTTTTTAAGGTAGTCTTTTTATTTAATATATATATACATATATTAAATATATATATTTTGATTAGGGACATTCTATTGTACCATGCACTATGAAATATTTTCTTTTTTAATGTTATATTCTTTTATCTTTTTTTCAGATTAATGAATATTATGACCTAATAATAACTAATCTTCCTGAAGATAAGGATGTTGTAGTTATTAAACGACGTCTTCAAAAAATGTCTGATAATTGCGGTGGTCGAGTAGTCAGAATCAAATTTAAAACTGCCATTGTACGTTTTGCTTCAAAAACTTCTGCAAAAAGGTATATACTTAAAAACTTTCCAACATTTACTAATTTCTTTTCTTTATTTAACAATTTTTTTATCTAATAAGAGTATAAACAATCCTGCGTCAATGTTTTAGAGTTTTAAAATTTGAATAGCCCGCTTGTGAATTCCTTTCTTTCTGATTGGGTCATTATATACGTAAACAAAAAAATTTATCTGTGAACTAAACAGTAGAGTAGGGGGAAGGACATAAGTAAGGAAGTATTTGAATTGTAGCAAACAATGTAACGACTGTAGTATTATCCAAAATACTTGATATATAAATTTTGTTTTGGTTATACTTTGTATTCGATTAGTTAAAATACAGCCAGTTAGTAATATTTTCAAATTAATTATTTTAAGTAATGCATTGATATTGTTTATTTTTACTCTTGTATATTCCTTAGTTTAATCTGATGATTTTAATTTATTATAAGGTAAGTTGAGTTTTATTAGAGATATATACATATATACATATATACATATTATTCTGTGAACATTAATTATGAAAATTTGATTAATGATATTAATTGAGATTTTGTATAATAAGATGTACTCACTATACTTTCTTGATTCTTTAAATAATTTCTAAGAAAGTATATATTTGTATATTTTATTATTACCTTACAAGGTCATGTACAAATAAAACTGCCATATATAATTTCTATCAGCTGACTGTGTCTTATGACAATGTGACCTTTTCTATAGGGCTCAGAAACGTATGGATGGAGAATATGTTTTTGATTCAAAGATTTCGGTAAGATTTTACAAGGAAACGGGAAACAGTAACAATAAAAGTCAAGGTATATAATTCCAAATTTATTTTATGTTATTATCTTGACAATAATTTTCTTTCACATAAGTATATATTTCTTTAAGTTCGTGTTTTTATTTTATGATCACATGATTTGAATGTTTCTATCTGCTTAACTGTATAGTGTAATATATTTATAATCAAATCTTTTTAAAGATAAATTTAAAATAGTATATATGTATATATTTTTGTTCCTTATTTTTAAATTAACATTACAAAAAATATTATATACATATAATATTAAACAATATGCTATTATATATAATGCAAAGTTTTTAACTAAATATGTTTTGACTGTAGGAAATTCCATAACTCGAAATCGTGCTCTAAGTGAATCAGAAATTATAGCAAACTCTTTTAAGCAAATGTATAGTGCAAGTGCTTCAATAGCGGGTGCACGAACCCTTCAAGTTCCACATTATCAATCATCATCGCCTGTGGTAGGACCATATACTACTTGGACAGGAGTACCTTGTGCTTCGGGGTATGTCTTATTTATTCTAGTATATTTATTTATAAATAATCGAATTATATATAATGATGATACTCCGAGAAAGAGCCCTAGAGTCACAAGTTGATTTCATCTTATCCTCGTCGATTCGGGCTATGAAGTTTAGAAGCTTTGATCTTATCTGAATTATAATATAACAACATATAATAATTATATGACATTATTTTACTTACAAATTATTAAAAAGTTTACTATATTTATAGAATGATTCAACCACCACCAATTTTTGTGGCTAGACCATATTCAGCGAGTAGTGATGTAACATTTAACAGGAGTTATAATGAATTAACTAGAGTTCAATCTCCATTGATTTGGCAAGTTGCTGGCTCCCAGCATTTCAGTAATTTATGGGAAGACCAATATAAGGTACATTTTAAAGTCTTTTCATTAAATGTAGTATTGTTTTAAAAGTAAATATATTTCAAAATAAAATAATTATTTTAAGCCGGAGAAAACAAAACTGTCAAGCAAACGAATTCATGCCCCTCAAGCAAGGGACAGTAGTGCGTCTAATAGTACAATATCAAGAACACCAGAATGTCTTAGACCTATCAAAGGTGGTCACAGTTCATTTATTCATGCTTCAGAATGGGCAGGTAAAACACAATTTTATAACACTTTCTAAGTATATAAAAAAAAGTACAATAAAAATATTGTAACAATGTTTTATTAATTATTACTTTTTATTCTTTATTATGCAGTACATTCTCAAACAAATACTTTTAAACGTCGCAGTCCATCTCCTATGTATGAAACTCAAAAACATGAGCGAAATAATCAGTGGAATGGACAAGTATATACATAATAAAAATATTTAATTTATAAACATAAATATTTTATTATTCTTATTTTTCACATATTATCTAATATCATAATTTATTGTTTTGTAGAATCAACATTCTGTATTTATACGTAATACCAGAACACCTTCGCCATATGAAGGTACTATGGTTCGAGTTATAAACCAGCAAAATAATCATTTCTCTCCGTACCAACAAAATGATTCAGAAAATGAAGAAGTAGAAGTGAGTTTTACTATATTAAGAGTATTACTAGTATTCTTTTATATATATATATATATAATAAAATACATTAATATCTTGTCAAAAAATAGCAAAATAATAATTTCTCTCTATATAAGCAAAATTATTCAAAAAATAAAGAAGTTAAAATAAATTGTATAATATATAGTTTATTAATTTTTATTATTTATTAAATATTATATATATATATATTATATTTACACGCAATATTATTATATATAACATGTTAACAGTTATGTGACGAAAATAGACTCGGTACTTAACGTGTTAATAATAAATAACATATACATATATAGAGAGAAAATAGAATTTTATTTATTTTAGAAATTTTTTCATCCAATTAATCGTAATGGAAATGGTTCTACTAATGGAAGTTATACACCCATTGAATTACAAGTAAGCAATTTAGATCAGAACATTGATCCAAAGGAAATGAAGCATATTCTTTCAACTATTTTCATGGAGCACGTAACAGTAAATTATCAATTTAATTATTTAAAAAAAAATTACTTTAATTTGATGACAATGTTTTCTAATAAAAACTATGTTATAGGTTTTGCACATATCTATTTTTATGCAATCTGATGGTAATTATGCAGCTAGTGTCAAAGTAGCTTCTTTGCCAGATGCACAATATGCAATTTCTCAATTACATCGTCGTAAAATTGGATATAAACGTATACTAATATCGTATGCTCATACTGGAGGTACAAATCCACAACTTATACGTGCACAGATTGTAATGCTTTTGCAAGAAGTACCAGGTCACAAATTGCCACTTTTTAAATTTAGAGAAATGTATGAAAGTCGTTTTATGATATCTATTAGTATTTCTGAATTGTATAAAATGAAGGATGTATGTATTGTCACTGAAGATATTAATGGGAGAATGGTATCTCTTAATCCAGATCATAGAAATACACCATCTCCATGTTTTAGTACTCCAACTCAGGTAAGTTATATAATTTATGTTTATATAAATAAATTTAACTATTTTTTTTTGTTATTATACATGATGTTAAACATATGCCGAGTTTGAGCATTTCCAATGTTTAGTAGAGCTTTTGTTCCTAACATTGTTAAGCTTTGATTATACAATAAAGCGATATTTTTTGCTGATATATTGTATTATATAATTTATCACGTATATTGAGAAATTTTACAACGTATAATAGTTTCTTTCTTAATACATTTAGGAAGGATATGTAGAATTACCGTATTGTACTAGACATACATCAAAACCATGGACTGATAAAGGTTGGGCTGAGCAAGAAATGGCATCTCTGCCAAATGTTAATATTTCTCTAAAATTACTTGCCCCGCGTATACAGCAATTATTAACTATGCACAATGGAAGTTTGCCACTACCAAGGTATATTTTATTTTATATTCAATTTGTATTGTTTTCTATTAATACGTTAGTCAAGCATATAATGTACTAATACATAAGCATTTAAAACTACGTTAGATTTCTGTATAATACCATTTCTTATAACGTGATACAAATATTTCTGTACTTTATTATCGGTGATTCCAGTAGTGATTAAATTTAGAATTTAATTGTTTTTTCTATCTTAAGATGTATTATGTAATGAAAACACGTTTTTACCGTTTTAACTTGTTTTTTTTTGTTTTAATAAAGAAATAGAACATTATTTATGGTTTTATAAAAAGAAAGACATTTTTTTTACATCTATATATAATTATTTGCACTGCATATTATAAAATATAAAATAAAGACAAATATGTTATCTTTATTCTTATTGTTTTTTTCTTTAATCATTGTAAATGTAATTACTGTTTCAAATACACTTTATAAGAAAATGTTAATTTAATGAATCTTATCATTTTTCTGTTACTTAAAAATGTATTTTTCAAAGTAGACTTTTCTACCATATTTTAGTTTGCCAAATTGCTATGCAGCTGAATTTCAAGAACATTTGAAAGTGATAGAAAATGGTGTACCATTAGAACATTTAGTATCGTGTCTATCTTTTGTTCAATTAAAGCAAGGTATTGGAAGTGTCAAATACCTTAGTTGGGCTGTAGATAAAGATCACGATGATAGCCATGAAGGTAAATTTACATTATATTAGTAATTAATATTATATTATAAACGTAATATATACTATGTAAATTTAAAAGAATACTAATATACATTTTCGTATAAATTTTTTTCAGAAAATAAGTGTGTTAGCCCTCCATTAGCAAATCAATTGGCTTTGTTTAGCCGTGAATTAGTAGACCTTTTGAAAACTGCTCCGCACTGCCAACTACCATTTAATCGATTCATTCCTGCTTATCATCACCATTTTGGGAGACAATGTAGAGTGGCTGATTATGGATTCACCAAATTAATCGATTTATTAGAAGCACTTACACATACTGTTCAAGTATGTTAAAATAAGATTAGTATTTGTTATTAATTTGTTTATATATAGATTTTTTAATATGTAAATATTAATTTAGGTAATGGGAGAAGGAAATAAACGAGTAGTAACACTTTCTCATCGTGCTCAAGTACGTCGTTTTACATCAGATCTATTACGAGTATTAAAATCAAAAGCTAGTAAACAAGTAACACTTTCAGAATTTCCAAATGTTTATAGTAGAGTGATAGGTAAGTAAACAAAAATTTATAGTTATAATTTTATAAATTTATATATAATGTTATATATATATATAAATAAAATAAATTATGTCTGAATTTAGCCAAACCATGGGATATTGTTGATTATGGTGTATGTGAAATAGAAGATATTCTTGGCGAAGTATCAGAAAATACAGTAGTTATGACTGCAATTAATGGAGGCGATAAAATGATAGCTATCCCTAAACGTGAACAAACTCCAGAGGAAATAGAGCGTACAAAACAATTTGCATTTGAGGTAAAATACATTTAATTATTAATATGTTATTAAACAAATATACTTATATTTCTTTTTTTGTAAATCACTAGGTTGTAGAATTATTGAGACATGTTCCTCAATGTAAGATGTTGTTTAATAAATTTGTGCCATCTTATCATCATCACTTTGGTCATCAGTGTCGTGTATCAGATTATGGATTTACTAAATTGATAGAATTGTTTGAAGCTATACCAGACGTAGTGAAAATTGAAGATGGAAGCAATGGTGAAAGACAAATTAGTTTAACAGAAAAAGAGGGCTTGCGTGTTTTAAGTGAACAGATATCAAAGCTAGTAACTCATTCAAAAAGTGGTCTTAGCGTTTCCCATATTGTTCAGAACTTTTTACGACAATTTGGCTATGCATTACGTCCTGAATTATTTGGCTGTAATTCTGTATTACAACTCATGCAAAAACTTGATGATAGTGTTAAGGTATAATAGATAATCATAATAATGCTTCCATTAAGTTATTTTATAATACAGGTATTATTAAAAACTTAATTTACTTAATTACTAGATTATAGATTTAGCTACGGGACCAGTGGTTGTTGCAATCGATAAATCTCACTTACAGCAGTTAGCTTTGCAATGTCGTAGAGTATTAATGGATCAACCCCAATATAAAATGCCTATACAAGAATTTCAAAAGCAATATTCTCAATATTATTCAAAAACTTGCAATATTGAAGAACTTAAAAAAGATTTATCTCATGTTGTTCAGGTAAGATAATGTTTTATCTTCGTTTAAGAGAAAAACATATACTAAATATAAATGATATGAATTTTTTTTCAGTTTAAAACAATCAATGAAGAAAATTTTATAGAACTAACTTCATTATATTGCTTTGCATGCAATTTGTATCGTGTTATGATGAGTTGTGAAGGTCAATTAAATCTTTCACGTTTTGAAGCTGCATATTTAGCAGTTAATGGTTCTGCATGTAGAGCTGCTCAATATGGTTTTCCAACATTGACAGCTCTCTTGCAAGCATTACCTTGTACCGTAATATTAAAGGATACACGGAAAGATAAACGAAAAAAGAAAGTAATATACCTTAATAAAAAATTAGCTGGTAAGTAAATTATTTAATTTATTAATGTGTATTTCTCCCCCTAATAAGTTTATAATTTTTACTTTTACATTTTTTTCTTTTTTTATTCAAACAGCTGTTGGTATTGCATTACCTTCCACGTATGCATCAGGTTCATCATATCATGATACAGATTCTAGCAATGAGTCATTTGAAAGCGATTCTTCATCGCGTATAAATGCCTCTAGTAATGCTTCCACATTAGAAGAATATGGAAAATGGATAACTCACGCAATTAATGGTCATGGTTCTTGGAAACAAAATGAAGACAATCATTTTTGGACACAAGATTGTGAAAAACATTGGAAAGTCTTAACGCATTTAGAAGAACGAGCTAATAATTGGCCATTATTTGAAAATAACAATGAAGGTCTTAAAAATTTTATACATACACCAACAATCATGCAGAACGATTTTCCACCTCCTCCACCTAAGCCTGATTCGCCACCTGAGGTATATAAAGTATTTTATATTATAAATTAATTAATTTTTCATACAAAACGTTTTTTTTTGCAATTCTATAAATATACAAACAAACATACGTATAAATGTTAGGTGGATATAAGAACGAATAATCAATGGAAGTCATCAGTATGGATAGCACCGACAAAAATTTTATATTCGCAAGATGAACGAGTTACAAATGTAAATGTAAGTATGTTGGGTGATATTTTTAAAAATATATTTCTTTATATTTGTATAGAAATTATATATATATATCTAGAAAGTATTGTTTGTACAACTGAATTTTTATTGAATATTGAAGACAAATTTCATCTTTAACATAAAATAATTACTTTTTAGGTACCTCCATTAACTTTACCTGCTTGGAATCAAATGTCTGAGGATGATATATTAAATTTGTTATCACCAACTAAAAACTTATTACCAGCCGCTGCAAATCCCCTAAATCCGCGTACTTCGCCTTATTATTCAACCAAGCATAATCTAGTTGTAGCACCACATCCATCCGAATTACCGCTACCGTCATTGTCGCTAACACCGAAAAAAAACGCATCTTCTGAAAGCATTACAGTTACACGAGATAGCATAGAAAAACAAGATGTTAATTCTGACAATGTTGGTGATGTTTGTAATACAGAAAATTTCGAAAAAGAAAATAATCTTGGTAATAGAAAGAAAAATGAACTTCTCAATACTCCTACTAAACCATGTAAGCATGAATTGCTCACATAAAAATATTTTTATTATTTTATCATTTTGTATGTAATTGATTTTTATTGATTTTGTTCCTTTTTAGTATTTACAGGAAAACGACGTTTGGCAGCTCAATTCAATCAACCTCTTCAATCTTAAACATAAATTGAGACCTATAACTCAATCGAATTCAGGCAATCGTTTTAATTTAAAGATATTGTTCATTTGTGATGCGCTTGCATCCAATGCAAGATATTCTTGTTCACAAACAATATACACGTTTAAGATTTTATCTCGCCGGTAGATCGCTGCACAATCATTTGAGTACTTACACATAAAACTATCTTTTAGTCGGTAGGTACCTCTGTCTGAAATTTATAATGTTCATTCATATGCATTCATTTAATTTGTACTTATCTTACTAGAATAAAAACAAAAACAGAAGTTATTTTCAAAATATATGAGCATGTACAATATGTAACTACAGTTTCTAAATTGAAAATCTAAAATGAGTGAGCAGCGTTTATATCGAATGACACGTATTTATGGTATTGCATACAAAAGTCGTAGCATTTTCCACACACTGTGATATAGAATAAGAAGAATGTGAAAATAATTGTACTAGCAATAAAGGAAATGTGCCTTCGCAATGGCACTCTCTCGCAAGGTACTTTAGATTTGGGCCGACTTTTCCTACCTTATATGTGATTAGATAGACAAATCAATTAATTTGTATTATATTATTCCTTTGCAGTCTGATTTATTTTCGATTTCTCATTTCAAGTAATATATATTCATTTGTTATTAACTTTTTATTATTCTTATGTTTTACAATTATTTTAAATATCGAATTAGAATGTATTAATGGCATTTCGGTATTCTTTATAATTGTATAAGATAAAAATATACACAAGTTTATAATATATGTTTTGAAACTGGATTTCAATACATAATTTAAACGTAGGACCGCAAAAGGTTATATTTCAGAATAATATCCAAATATTGTTATAATGTTTATACTTGCAATTATAAATTAAATTTAGCAATTTTTAAAGTTATTCTAATGGGCCCGAATCTACTGATTTTTTCATACAACTGTATAGATTCCGAGTTGTATTTTTATAAGTTTATTTGCATTTATGAAATAATGTACATGATTCCAGAATAATGTGAAACAAGTACAACTCGAGATTTCTAATTTTATTTATTTACATAACGATCAATTTGTACAATTATTATTATTACTAGTCGTATTTGTGACATATTATTTCATTACAGTCAACGTGTTTTATAAATTAATATATAATTTTATAATTATATTATAAGTATATATATAAATATTTTTAAGGTTATTTGTAAAAATTAGAAAAAATTACGTATAATATATTCAGAAATTTCACACAATTTCAGTAAGTAAAACAAAAAAAAGTCTTTAAATGATGATATAACAATTTCTATACAAGTATTAAAATTAAAAAAGCTGTGGTGCAATTAAAGCGTACATATAATGTACTGTCAAATTTTAGCGAAAAATTAATATTACTTAATAAAATATAATTACTTTGAATAATTTTGTTAGAAAAGAAAAAAAGATTAAAGTATTGAAGCAGTGAAAGATTTACATCGATTTTGTGTGTTGTGTGAATAGAAAAGCTAATACAGATTAGCCTGAGAAAAATATTATTTATATCATAATAAACCGTAATTTAATCTTTCTATTATATATATACTACATGTAATGTATAGTACAAAACAATCATAAAGAAGATAAGCGATTTCTTCAATTTACTTAATTAGGATTTCGATCTCATATTTTACTTTTACATTTACGAATGTTTTATTAGCAATAACTATTCATTAAAATTTAAAAATAATAAACAGCGTTTGACAGTGGTTTTATAAATTTTTATAATTGCAAATAGTGTAATGAAGAACGTTACTTTCTAATTATTTTCGTTTTCGTAAATTGCTAAATTAATTATTAAATTTTGTTAAATTATATCAACAGTAATGCATGTAGGAAATAATATAATATTTATTAAGTTATAACTGATAATTAGATACAAAATCCTAAGTGGAGCCATTTCTGTTGTTATTATGTGGTCGTTAATGAAATATTAAATTATTCTTAATAATGTGTGATTTTATTTTATATTTATTGTGTAAAATTATATTATAATCTATTTTAAATGTTTCTATGCTAAATATTAAATATCATTTTATATATCTCATAATTTATGTGAAAATAAGAAGTGTTAGGTAGTGTGCACAAAAAATTAATTTTAATTTCTTGTATTATTTAATCACATCAAATTAGTTTATTTATTATATATTTCGTTTGGATATAAAACTACACATGTAGTATACATAATATTTGCAAAGAAAAGTTCTTTAATGTGGATGTAAAATTGATGAATATATAAATCAGTTTACATATGAAACTGTTCAAGTACATTAACTTTTAATACACTTAATTTTGTTAAGTTTTATTATTGTAACATATGTAATTCGATTCTAAAATACAAAATAATACATGAGATCTTCTAAAAAAATGTAATTAATCAATCAATCAATTTGATACATATGTACAATCATATAGAATTTTTATATATTGTACAACGATAAACAAAAATAAAACAGTAGTTCAGAAACGTAAGATGTGCTTGTTTTTATTGTATATAAAAAAACATGAATACTGTTAAAAGCATTTCATTTTATTATATAATATATAAAAGAATATACACAATGTCATATATAACTTACTTTTATTTTATTAAGTTTTATACAATATTTATGTATCCATGTATGTTTATTATTACTAACTTCTTTAACTAAAAGTATGCATTTTGTATTAAATCCTTTTTCTACGATATCGGGATAATATTTATGTCTTCATTCCGCTACCTACAGGACCATGTCTTCGTTCCCAAACCATACGATGCTTTTGTTTCATAAACGCTTGTTGTACATTAAGTGTAGGAGGTAAATCACCATCTAAACAAAATTAAAAAAATTATTATTTTATATATTTCTCTATATATGATTAAATTGTACTTTGATATTTGTAGGTAATAATAGTGACATTTTGCAAACCAAGCTCCACTAGCTTCTTCATAGATTCTTCTCAGAGGAATACAAATTTCTCTATCATCAAGTCCATGGTGCATAGCACATTCTTCATATCGAATTCTCAAAATAGACAAAATAGCATCATCTACAGCCCTGGTAAAAACAAATTAACATTTTATTAGAGTTAATATTTAATATATATGTTATTATTTATGTATACATAAATATTTATTTATACATACTTATCGCGTTCAAATTGAAGATTAGCTTCAACGAAACAAACTATGTCATCTGTATAACATTCATCAATAGTTGGAACACGCCGGAATTTTTGATGATACCAAGGATACTTCTGTTGATTAGGTTCAACGATTTTCTCTAATAATAATAATAATAATAATATTAATAGAATGTTTTTTCTTTTTTGTTTAAACAATATGTATCAAATACTGATTATATGACTTGTCCAACATAACCAAAGAACGATTAGGTAATACCTCGAAAAAATACAACAGGTGCATCAATTACGTTAAAAACAGCATTTGCAAATCTTTTTAAAGCATTTGGACTGTTCTCCATTATCTAACGATTAGTTAATAACAGTTTATTCTACTTATGTAGAACTTTTCGATAGAATACTCCTGTAGGAACTAAGAAGCGAACGCCATCAGTACGTTTTCATTGATATTGGTATTACCGAACACTACTCATATTAAGGACAAAAACGCAATCTATTTTCGTTGTATGTAAATCTTAAAATAAAATAAGAGAAGAATGGAAAATGAAAGAAGTTCATTATAATTTTTCTGAAAATATTTCATTTATTCTTAAATAAATAGATATTTATTTTCTATTCAATATTTTATCCATACTCTTGCGAATAAAATAGGGAATTAGCAATACAAATAAAAAATATCCAATTTAATGCTTACATATAAGCTTTAATATGACACATTCCTAAACTATTATGAGAGAAGTAAATTTTATATATATAAATATAATAGAAAAAAATAATAATTTATTTATATTTTTTCAATTAAATTCTATATAAATTCATTCAAAAGATTGAAAAATAGATTGTTAATAATATACACAAGACACACTCCAAAAAAAAAACAAAACAAAAAAGTTAAAAAAAATAAAGATAACATAACAAGGGAAAATTGAATAGATATAATTTACAAGAAATCATTGGATGAAACTTGACCAATAAAAATACTAGTTTTGGAGATTCATTGACCGATTCAGTTACAGATACGAGCTCTGATTTCACTTCTAGTATTGTGTAACTCTATGATCAGAGTGTGAAATGAATAAGTATTGTGATCCATGTTAGACTGAGGATATTTTAAATCGTTATCGGAATTTCCTAGTTTACAGAAAAAAAAGCGCAAATGTAAGTTCGGTATCTCACGAGTGCTTAGATCGAGATACATTTATCAGCGATATTTATGTAATACTTTGTATTGTCGCATTGTGTACACACGTGAACATGGATTGGTAAAATGGTATGACTGTGTTTACGTTGTATACCAAAACATCGATGACCTTGAAGGTGGGACAGTCACGTGATCGTGTTATGAGAAAACGATTGGTCGAGAAAGGGAAACGAAATATAGTGTCTATTGCGTTGTGTATGCCCGCATAATAGGTCCCGTATGCTGCATCCGATAGGCTAGAGGCAAAGCGCGGCAAAGAGCGATCGAGTGAGCGGCTGAGTGAGCGAAAGCAAGAGAAGAAAAAAGAAAAAGTGAGGGTGACAAAGCAGTAGAATTATTGGAACGAAATAAAGAAGGAAGGAGAAAGAAGCGTGAGAGACAACAAGAGTAAATGAGGACGAGGTAGTGGAAGAGAGAGAGAGGTGGCCAAGAGTGACGAGAAAAAAGAATAATTAAAGGCTAAGACGCGGTGACGGCAACAGCTACTAAGGACGGCAACAACAACGACGACGACGACAAACGGACAAACGACGAACACAACAAGGACAACTACGACGACGACGCAACGACGCGACGACACGAAGAAGAAGAAGAAGACGAAGTGTGCCGCCGCCGTTCGCTCGTACGTCCGTGTGTGTGCGCGCGCGTTGGTCGCTAGTGTTGTGTCCAAGATGAAGTCCGACTCTAAACCTTTGTTGACAGCTCAAGCGGAAAAGGCGAATCATTACACGTAAGTAGCGCCCGCCGGGCCGGTCGCGTGCTACGTGAGAGAAGTGAGATAAAGATCAAAGCCAGAAGTGTGTGACCCAAAGTGGAGTGCGAGAAAAAAGAGAGAGAGAACAGAGAAAGAGAGAGAGAACCGCGAGCAGCGCGGCTACGACGCGCGCGTCGACAAAAAACTCCACGAAATAATGTGTAGCTCTGTGGATTCGCATTCCAGATACTTGAAGGAATTTCGCGTCGAACAATGTCCCCTCTTTATACAGCGCAAATGTACACAGCACCGTCCCTTCACGTGCTTCAACTGGCACTTTATGAACCAACGGAGGCGCAGGCCGGTGAGAAAGAGGGACCGCACCTTCAACTATAGTGCTGATAATTATTGTACCAAGTACGACGAGACCACCGGTATATGCCCGGACGGAGATGAGTAAGTTCATAGTTTGACTTAAAAAAGCATTCTTATTTTTTTTTTTATTGCCTTTAATCGCCTTATTTTGCTCTCAGACAAATGTAAACGTACAAATTTGTTAATTATTCTGATAAATATGATGGTGGTAGTAACGATGATGACGATTGACTGTGACGATGACGGTAACACGGACGCGGACGCGTTACCTTCTAAGCACTCTTTCCACGGCCGTCGCATCGATTTGAATGCTCGTTTATTCGTTCGACAATCTTAAAAAAATATCAATTTGTCTGCTATTTTCTTTATTGAGCGCTAAACGTCCATCGTACATTATTACAAATATTTTTTATTTCATTTTATTATTTGTTTGTTTTCTATTTACTGTGTTTATAATAGCAGTGAGCAATTATCAAATATCTTTGAATAACTTACGAAATACTAACTACTTGCTATATTCTCACTATGGCTCATGAGCAACCATTTCTTCTTAGCCCTTCGAGTAACGTATTTTCAACGCCGTAACTTAACGTGTTCTACTAAGCAAGAGAGAGTAGGAGAAATAGAAGTATGCTATATCAAATGCGTTTTACATCCTAGAAGGAATAGCACATTTCCTCTTGACTTCTTTCATATTGCTTTTCTCCCATCTTCTTTTTCTTCTTCGGATATTCTTCCTTCCCTCCTTCCGCATATAGTTTTGTCTCCTTTCTTTGTGTCGTTGACACGCGCGTGTACCGTAATACGTAGTATGCCTGTCTCTCTCTCTCTTTCTCTCTTTCTCTCTCTCTCTATCTCTCTCTCTCTCTCTTTCTCTCTCTCTCTATCTCTCTCTCTATCTCTCTCTCTCTCTCTCTCTACTTGAATATATGACGTATACTTACATATATAGCATAACTCGTCAACGAGAATAACCTTTGTAACGAAGCGTAGTTTGTCATGTTTCGTTCATATCGCGCGTTTCTCGTGGGACTTGACGTTAAAACACGTATCCGCCGAACGGTATTTTAATCACAAGAATTTTTTCCATTTCTTTCATCTTTTTTCGTAAGTAAAAAAGAGAGACAGAAAGAAAGAGGGAGGGGGGAGAAACAGACAGACAGCAGACAGAGAGTACGTCATAAAACAATTACAGGGAACAGGGATTTGAATTACCAACATACAAAAATCACTTACGCACTTACTAAATATATTCTTCTCAATTTTAATAGCTCTTTATTTATTCTATTAATTTATCTTTACTAAACAAGATCTTGTGTGAATAGTATTATCTTTTATATCTATTTTATACTAATAAATATGCCTACGTAGGAGAAAGGAGAACAAGAGTGTGTGATAATATTTTCACATTAGATGTACAATATGAAGAATATTTTATTAATTCTTATATCTTTGCTTCTGCTAAATTATACAGTATTAACTATTCGTAGTTTGCATCATTAACAAAAACTAAATGAAAAAAGTATGCGTCATCATAGTATGTCGTAACGAATCAGCTGGACATCCCTATTATGCAATATTCTTGAGTTATATTTTTATATAGCTATAGAAGTCACAAATGTAGCAAAACAAATATTAAATAATATATTAAAAAAATATTGTTCATTTTAATTATTATGATGTATGTCTATATATTTTCCATGTGTACATATTATACATACATCCAACCGTTTATATACGTTATAGCACGTTATTATTGAAAGCATTTTATAATAGAATAGTAATCTTATTTTTTTAAAGCGGTGCCACTCGAATTAAACAATTAAATGACCGAATTATTTTTTAATACAGTTTAGATTTTCGTCGCATGATTTAAAGATCTTAATTGATTGCACGATTAATTAGAGAATGATTTACTTGTGATATACATATTTCAGAGAGATATGCAAACTTTTCTGTGCTATTGGATTCTTTGAATTTTTGTTATTTGATCTTCAATTGAGTATACTTGTTCTTTTTTTTTAAATATAATGCAGGAGAACAATGCCAATACAAATCTTTCATTTGTTAGGTATATAATATCTTGCATGTAAAACAATGTAATATTACGAACAATTGCTGAAAAGTATTGTTGGTGTTTGAGAACAAGAATCCAATAAAAAGAAACAAAAAAAGTAGGGATGAGAATAAGAGACTGTTGGTTTTGCGAGCTAACTTTGTACGTCTCTTTGATCTATCCCTAATGATCCGCATGAAGAAAATAAAAATTTGAAAAAAAATATTTTAGGAGTATTTGAAATCGCTCAAATCACAATGCATGGCAAAACGTCTTGCGCGATGCACACATATCCTCCCTCTAGAATGCTTACTCGGAGTTGTTCCAATCCTAGAATTCTTTCGAAATTAAACCCAAGTATTAATAGCCTACTTATTTCGGTTTCAGGTGTAACCGAAGATACTGACTCTGTTACCGTTAGTAAGGGAAGTATAGTGAGAAGTTATAATGGCGCCTGGGATGAGGATGGGGGGGATCCTCTATTTTGCTTAGTTTCTCTTGACACATAACTTCTGTTATTTCTCGTTTTCTATTGAACGAAAGGAATATTATTATATATGCACGAAGTTCATATATGAAGATTTACTAAGAAATAAATAATACTAATGCAGGTTTATGACTAGATAAAAAAATATTAATAGGTATAAAAAAATAGTTATTAATTCGTCTTATGATGCGCGTATGATTAAACAGTAATAATTGTAATATTTTTATAAATTACGAAATACAAATCTTAATTCGTTCATTACAACCTAATCATTACGTTTATCTTCAATGAATATGAGCACCAGGCTTATAGTTATACGATAAAAGTAGAAGGATACAAATATGCGGAAAGGGAAGTTCGAGAAAATGGAGGGAATATTCTCACTGGGTCCATTATTGCTGCTCACTGTACAACTTACCGCAATCTTGTGCGTAACGAGAATTTGTAATGTAGTATTTGCGAAAATCTTTTGTACAAGAATTTTTTCTTGTACAACATTATTCCAACTTTTAACTTGCCGAATGTAAAATTTTAATCGATTCTTTGTCAAATTATTTTTTTTTCTGCGCGAAAGTTTTATAAATTACTATGCACGAATACTAAGACTACATTTTATCCTTACGTATACTGGTTAAAATAAGCTTTTTTTATCACTTGAATATGTAGATAATAAAAACAACAAGAAAAATTGGTTGACGATTATAGGTGAAATCTCAGTTACAGATATATAGCAATATATAGATAAATTAAAGTAGATATATATTAACAAAACAGTAATCTACATTAATAATCAGTAATCTAACAGTACATTTATTTTGTTATAAGTCAACAAAGGATAGAAATATCGTATGTCGGTATACCGATATTGTGGTATATATAGATTATTTTATAAGTGAACTATTATAGACTATTATTACTGTTTATATATTTACTGTATAATGTCGTAGTATTTATCATAAAATTTCAAGCATTCTGAAGTCTTAAGCTTATATTTTTTATGTAGAATTTTTGCACTTTCATA